GGCTTGCAGTAGGTCCAGGTCGACCGCTGTCAACCTTATGACATCCGGCCAAAACAGAGACTTGGAAGTGTACACGAACTCTGAATTCGCTACTATCATAATCTTGGCCTTCCTCATTTCTGCTTTGTCGTACGCGGCAAAGATGGTCTCATCTTTCTTTATCGCTTTCAATCCGCCGTACCTTTGGACGTCACCATCTTGACTCACTTGTTTCGGGTATATTCTATCTTTCACATGACCTGGGGGTGAGCTCAACTGCCTGAACATCTTCACATGTTGTCCGATCGGCACCCTTGTTACCAAAAATCTTCCAGGTCCCTCTTCTCGATTCCCTTCATCATGATTCAACCTCACGTCGTGCAATGGTCTTGCGTTCACTGGTCCCATTGTATTAATAGAGGGCAGTCCCTCTAGGTCAGCAAATCTCAAGGCTGTCGAGCTGAAAATTATGCCAGCGGCTATTAAACAGTCTACACCTGTTATTGAATACAGTCTACTGACGGATAGCCTCGCTCCATTGAGCATCCTCCTGGCGTCCTCGATGAAGCTCACCCTCTGGAGATCCAGCTTCATTAGTTCGTCCTTGTACACATGCCAGGGGGATGGTATGGGTCTTGACCACATCAATGAGCCTCTATCCGGGTGTCTCTCCTCTCGACTGGTACTTGTCGTCTCCGATCTTGTGTCTGGTCTGGACATGCCAGTTGCCTCTTCCATTGGGTTAACTGGCCCTATTCTTCTCCTAGGATGAATGGTCCTCCTCACCGGCGCTTCTCCCAATCGATCCTGAACGTCTGTCCTTTGACCTGGTTCGCTTGAGCTCTGTTGTCTGTAGTTCGTGACGGCCGGGACCGTCCCCAAGCGTGTTTCCAGGCTAGGAGGCACAAAGGTGGTACTCACCGTGTCATTCGATGCTCCTTCCTCCTTCAGCACTCCTGTGTCAAAGAGTTCTGCTTCTAACTCATCCAACCGCTCTTGGTAGACTCGATTCAACCAAGCTTGTCCTTCTATACTATCGAAGTGGATGCCGTCCGTAGTCAACCTGGCCTGATCCATAGCTCGCAACTCATGTTCAATGTCCATGAGGATAATTCTTCCGGCATTCCGACTTGCGAGATTCCTCAAGATATTATTCCACCTGACAACTCCTTCGTTGTGCGTTCTCCCTGCTGCTGTCAAGCTCCTTGTGTTCATTGGCACAGTGCAAACGGTCAGTACCGCGCAATTGAATTTCTGCCAGAGAGTAGTAAACAAGCACACCATCTTTGATTCCCATAGTGCTTCCTGCTCCTCCGAACCTCTAGAGATGTCATTCGTTCCAACCAGGATCATCACATTGGGGATCCTCCCTGGATTCATTAGTTCCACCATCCGATATAACTGGGCTATCGTCGCGCCTCCAAAGGCCATCACCGTGGTGACCCAAGAGTTCCTCAAATTCGAGAGTACTCTGACTAAGCTGTCTCCCAGTATCAGATGTGATGTCCCCAGTGGCGGTTGCTGCAGGTTTACTGCCGGGTTCCAAGTCGCTCGATTGAAGCAAGCTCTCGGATCCGTCTCCGGTACTCCCGTGAAGTTATATCTCAACTGATTATTCTGTTGTACGTCTATTACTCGAGACATTTTCTTCGCTGGCATCTTCTGTATTCTTCTCTCTGGGGCCTTAGAGCTCCCTATTGGTGGCGTCGTGTCGCTAACTCCCTGTCTGATCACGGTTTGGGAGAGTCGTACTCTGCCGTGTCGTCGATCGTTCCATAGGGTGCAGTCACCCCGGAACCTTGTGCATTCTTGTTGGCGACTAGTCGTCCAGCTGTCTCTATCAGCCTCTTCACCGTTTGTTCCACGACTGGGTCACCCAAGGTGTCACTAGGATCCGGGATTGTCACTCGACCTGTTGCTGTCGGGAGTCGTGTTTCCGTTGTCTGACTCATCTCTCGAGGCGTCAATAGCTCCATCGGGGACTGCCCACGAGGAATACTCCTTGCAGGTATCGCTTTTTCCACGGCTGTAGTCTTTTTCCATGCCGCCCGGTCCGATCGCTCCTTGTAGTCCCGCCTCAAGCGCTCAACTTCTTCCCTGCTTTTTGTTACAGTCTTCGAACAATCTTTTCCACATGTCTCTGTCGTCCTCCGCAATGAGCATGGTCTTAGTCACCTCGTCCAGCTCCCTTTTTGTCCTTTCCAGATCGTCTTTTATCCCATCCAGATCTTGCATGGTTTGGTTCGTCTGAACCCTCTGTTCTACTTTCACCTTTCGCCCACTTTGGTGGCACAGCTGCTCTCAGTGGTGAACCAGACGAGGCAGCCTCGCTGTTCATCTCCTGATGCATTCTCGTCAGCCCAGGTTCGGGCTTGGAGGGCATAGGCATTTTACCTGGTTGGTAAGTCCTAGAACTTCCCAATCCAGGCTCATTCGCCAAGTCACTCCCTGAGAGAGCCCCGTTTCTGCACCTCATCACTCTCATGTTCGGGCGGTCTAATATTCCCCTCTCTCTATATGCTGCCATCAAAAGGACTTCCGTGTGGCGGTCCCCACGGTTGACATGCCCCAAGATGTTGATCAGGGCGGTCAGCAACCTGACTACCTCTGGGTCCTCCAGAGCGAAGTCTCGATCCATTAGCCGACGATAGATCGCATCTATCATCGGTCCTACATATGCCTCTGCCAGGTCCATCAATTCAACCAAGTTGAAATTCTTCATACTGTTCTTCAGATTCGATTTGATTTGATTTGATTTCAAGGTTTTGACTCAAGTGAGCAATTAAATGATCAATCAGGATCTAGAAAAGAAGTCACGAAAATCACACTTGTCAGTTTTCACCTTAATTTCTCGTTAAAATTTATTTAAAAACAGTCAGATAAAAAGATTTTTATCCTAAAATTTATTAAAATCAATCGGTCTCTAAAATTTTGGAATTCGACCTAAGATTGGACAGTCCAAACTTTGGATCTATTCCTAAGATCGTTATTCAGTTGTTCGTGGTCACTAACCCCTTCTTATCCAAGATCTTAATAACATAACACATAACATAACATAACACACATATAACACAACTTAGTCTTTAGCCTAATACCCTCACGCCCGTCACTCAGCCTATACTTAAATAATATTTCTTAAGTAAATATACTTGTAAATTAGTATCAGAGAATATCACGTGTACCAGCGCGTACAGTTCTCGAGGGTGCAGTCGTCCTCTGTTCGGGTCGTACACTGGAAGCGAAAGCTCCTTCACGTCCATTTCCACGAGGAAGTCTCTCAATCTCGTCAAGGACATGACTAGGTTTTCCGGGTCCACGTGCTGCTTCTCCGTCGCCCTCGTTACCAAGAAGCATAGATATTTTCCCGGTATCTGTGAGGCCGCCGGATGTTAGGCCGCTACGCCCCCTATCCCTGGTCTTTGCTTCCATAGGAACTCTATGTTTTTATGTTCTCTCTTAAAATCTGCCACTAACGCTGTCCTAAAACTCATGTCTGCTGTGATTGCTATCGCACATGTTCTATTTGTCAGTATAAAATCACTGTCTGTTAGTATTATGTTACTTGAGTATTCATTTGGTAGGTTAAAATTTGACTCAACTACCCTCCCTATGTCAGGTGTCTTAGGTTCTTCGCCTGTTTCTGCTTCTAAGTCTCTTGTCTCTCTTGCTATTCTTAATTTTTTTATTATCAAGTTTTCAGTGTGGGTAAGTCCTACCCCCACTCCCCGGACAAAAAAATCCATCGACGTCCCCGTCGATTGCATACCGGGTATCAAATCGAGATTGGAACCCGGAATGAGTAGTCGCCCCTCCTGGGCAGCCCAGCAAGGATCATTTCGTTCGGTCTTCATGTATTTTATGCTTTCACGATCTACTTCTTGAATTGTGACACTGGTCTCCTCTGGGTCCGACGTCATTTCGTTCAGCCATTCTAAGACACGCAGGTTCGTCAAGTCTTGTTCATATGACTGCTGTTGCTCGTCGTCGAATTCTATCTCGGGTTTCGACCGGTCGTCGACCCACTCATCGTCGTGATCATTGACTATGTCAATGTCTTGTGACACCGTTATTTCTTCTAGACCCACTACTTCTTCCACTATCTTCTTCAGATCTATCCTATCCACTACAAAGTCGTCACCGTAAGGGTCATATTTCTTTCTGGGTCTTGTCCCGTCCTTCTGACGAGTCTGTATCGTGAACGGAAGATCCGGTTCCAAATTCTTGGGAACCTCCATCTGTTCGGGATCTTGCCAATCCTCCTCTGCGTAGGGTAAGGTTCCATCGTCCGCTTCGATCACCTCGTTTGGATCCAGGTCCAGCGGTGTATTCGTTCCTTCCTCCACGACTTCGTTTCAATCGTTCTTCTCCCTGGTGCCCTTCTCGTTGACCTAACAAGCAGGATCCATCATTAGATAATCCCCTTCTTCCATGTCTGCAGGTATACACCAGTCTTCTGTCGATTGATTGTGTAGCTTAATGTTTTCGTAATGAGCGGCTCGGCCAGTACTCAGTCTATAACACTTTTTAGGAGCTTTTTCGTTCCCTTCGGTGGTATAACGTTCTGAAAGACCCATACGTAATCCCCCACCGAGTAAGCTTTTGCACCAGCTGCTTTCTTGTCGAATTTTTTTCTCTGCCTTGCCTGTGCTTGCTGAGTATTCCGTCTACATAAATCGTTCAACTCCTGTTGACGTCTGATCACATCCCTCACGTAGACCTGTGGAGACGTTTTCTTTCCCTCATACTCTGGGTAGAAAAAGGTTAAGGGTAAAGACTTCTCGTGTCCAGTTAGCATCATGTGTGGACTAACTCCAGTGGTGGAGTGTTGCGTGCTATTATAGGCTCCCATCACCTGTGGAAGGTATCTGTCCCAACCGGTCATGTACCTGGAACAATATACTCTCAGCATCGACACTAACGTCCTATTCTGTATTCGTCTGGGGGTGGTATGTCGTGTAGTGAGCCTGAGCAACCTGTGAGCGTATCATGAGCTCTTTCGTAAGCTCTCCTACGAAAGCTGTTCAATTATCCGAATGAAACGTCATCGGACAACCATGTCTCGCTATCCACGTATTGATCAGGTGGTCGCATGTCTCTTCCGCCGAGGCAGTTATGCAGGGCACGGCCTCTGCATACTTCGTAAAATGATCTATCATGACCAACACCTGAATATAACCAGTGTCTGTCATGCATATATTTTGGTGATCTATCTGCAACACCTCGTTGAATTTAGACGACTCGATCGATTGTAAAGGAAATCGCAACTTCTTTGGATCCTTGACCTGTTGGCATGACAGACATGCTGTTACCCACTTCTCGCATGCCTTTTTCATTCCAGGCCACTCGAAGCGGTTCACGATCCTCTGATATACTTTGTCGATCCCCTGATGGCCCATCTGATCATGCGACCTGAATAATAGTTCTGTCTGATAGAGTTGCGGCAAAACTATCGCGTTATACTTGTATAGGACTCTGTCTTCTTCCCTTCTTTTGCAAGCCACAATCCCGTCCTTGTTCAAATATAACCTCCCTTCCTTCTGCATGAAGTACTGTCTCAGGATACGATAACTGTCTTCCTCGAGGTCCCCTTTATCCGGAGAACCATTCTCGATCCACCTTTTCAGGTTGCTTGTCATGCGATCATTTCTCTGCGCCCTTAGAAGATCCGAGAGTCTGTATCTCGCCTTCAAGTACGTCTTCATGACCCTCATCTGACTATTCAGCTCATTGGGCTGGTGTGTGTCTTCTTCCATCTTAACGCACCGAATCTTCGCCAGCAGCTGTGTTTCTTGCTTGAACGGCTGGAGTTCTGTCCTGATTACCTCTTTTTGTGGCAACAGACTTATCGAACGTTTCGATACCGCTATTGTCTCCAAATCATCCGCTGCGTTGTCAAAGACTCTTTCGCTTGGTATAAGGTAGCGATCACTGTCAGGATCCTGGTACACCTCTCTGTCCAGATCCCTTGCCCGAGTTTCCACCAGTAGTGTGTGGATCGCTAGTTTGGACAGTTTTGATCCCGAGCTCGAGTTCCTGTCTGAATAGGTGTCAATTCCTGAGTTTCGGGAATTGTCATCTGTTGAAGAGGTTGTGATGGAGTCTGCACGCTCCTCTCGATCTTGTCTGTGCCTTCTTTGCATCCATCTGAACTCCCCGGACAAAACCTTGTTCCCCATGTCCTGTTTCTCATCAGGATTTTTTTCATCTATCTCAGACTCCCCGGACAAACTTTCTTGTCCCGGGTGTTGATCTTGTACTCGCTGGCTCTTCTCATCGTTCGTCTCCCCGGAAAAACAATCTTGCAGCAGGTTTTGTTCTACCTTCTCACCTTCTTTATCCTGGCCCACAAAAGTAACGGTTTTCCTTCGCGTACTGCTCCCCTGTTCTTTCCGTCCGTAAGAAGTACTGGTTAAAATCTCGTGGGGCATTGAGGATACTAGTTGCTGAACTATTGTCCTACAATCCCTCTCGTTCTCTTCGTGTTGTCGTCTGGACGGCATGATCTTGATCTTCTCCCTGACTGTTAGTGAAGCCACTGCTGCTCTCCACTCGGGGTCATCTCTGGTCACTTCTCTTTCTAACAATCCACCCAGCATCCACATCACTTGCGGTGTGACCTGCACCGTTTTATCCAATAATGAGAGGCTGTTTATCTTCATGCGAGAGAGTTCTTGTTGGACCAGGTTTGAGCGCAGCAACAGATCCAAGGCGACCGGGTCCACCTTGGATAGGATCTTTATCTCGGCAGCTTTCTCTACAGGTAACTCAGGATGCCCTGGAATTGGATGTCCAGACTTAACCAACCATCTCGTTAAGGGAAGCGCTTCATAAGTTTCTTTGTCCAGAAACGAAAATCCTTTCTTTATTTCTGCCTGATTGGATTGCTTCTGCTCCAATCTTTCATAAAACTCAGTTTTCTTGCTGAGGCTGTCAGCATTCTGGTGTTTATCACGCATCCTGAATTCGATTATCATATGGTAGCCATCCAATCTTACTATCCATCTACCAATATAACTCTGATCCATCGAGTAGGTCTTCAACCAGGATAACGCTCTGTTGTCTACGCGTAACTTAAAGGGAGCGCTCCCTAACTATGCGCGGTATTTTTCCACAAATGTGACTACTGCAAACATCTCTGCTTTTGGTGCGCCATATTTCATCTCAGTGTCACTCAAGACCTTGCTGCCGTATGCAATGGGACGGAGAACCGTTCTTCCATTCCATTCTTGCTCCTGATGCAATATTCTTGAGATGGCTACTACCGATGCGTCTGTGTCAAGAACATACATGCCATTTTCTGTAGGCATGCCTAGCACTGGCGCTTCGCACAGTTCCCGCTTTATGTTCTCGAAGGCAACTTCTGCTTCATCGTTCCATTCGAACTTTTTCCCTTTGTTGCGCATCAGCTTCTGCATCGGATACACCTTGTCCGCATATCCTTTTATGAACTCCCGGTAGTAGTTGGCAAACCCTAGGAAGCTCAGGAGCTGTGTTTCCGTTCTGGGAGCCTTCTATGTCAACACTGCTTCTACTGCTTCCGGGTCTGGCCTCACACCATGCCTGTCCACCATTCTTCTCAGGTACTTGATTGAATCCCTAAGGATTTCACATTTCGATGGTTTGCACTTCAAGCCTGCTCTTTTCATGCATCCAGAGACCTCATCGAGCCAATCAATATGGTCTTCCAGGGTTGGTGTCGCTATGACCACGTCGTCCACGTAACACATCACAAGGTTCCCGTACTTCTTTGTCACTCTGGTCAAAGCCTGAGCCATCAGTCTTTGAAAAGTGGCCGTTGCGTTGCACAAGCCGAAGGGCATCCTCTTCCACTGGTACAACCCTAATTCGCACGCGAATCCTGTTTTCTCTCTGTCCTTCTTCCGCAGAGGGACCTGCCAGAAGGCAGAACCCAAGTCCAATGTGGTGAAGAACTTGGCATCACCAAGCTTAGAGAGGCTCTCGTCTATTCGCGGTATCGGGTACGCATCTTTTATCGTTACCGCGTTCAAGTAACGAAAGTCGCAACAAAACCTAAGCTGCCCCCTTTCTTTTTCGCCATTACGACCCCGCAAGCCCATGGCAATTTCGAGGGTTCTATCATGTCGTATTCAAGCAACATTTCTATTTCCGCTCGGCACGCTTCCGACTTGTGTGGCGTCATTCGTCTTGCGCCCTCCCTATGGGGAACGGCGCCCTCTTCAAGTTCAATTTCGTGTTCGACGAAATTACAGCAACCGATATCCGCCTTATGTTTTGAAAATACATCTGCGTTCCGATTTAAGAGGTCCCGCAATTTTTCGAAATCTCCCTCACCTATTTTCCCTTTTAAATGTTCTATCTCTGGCAAAAGTGGTTTGTCAGATTCTAGTTCATATGACGAGGGGCGTTCCGGAAAATTCGAGCAGCTCGATAAGCCGTCGTCCGTTTCGGATTTCATTGAAAACACTTGAAAATTTTATCTTTATTGGCATGATAAGGACCGTCTTTCACACTATGTTTCTTCAAGTTTTGTGTCTCCTCATAGTCGGTCCTCTCCGGCAAAGCGTAACCAAGCTTCTTTCCACGCTGGATTGAAACCGTGGTGTCCAGTGTGTTCAATAGCACACTGACACACAGTCCGTTTCGCGTTACCGAGAAGCTTCGGCCTAAAATCACCGAACTCTGGTTATTTGGATTCGGTACTAAACAAACCTGTTTACTATGGCTTAACGAATTTAAATTTATCAATCTAAAAGTCGCCACCACAGCCTGTCCTGGCTGTAGTTTCACTTTTCTATCTAAAAAAATTGGTACCTTGTTTTCGTCTGTTATTATCCTATTAATCGGTTTCTTAACATACTTCCGGTCCGGGTTTCTAATCCGTATCAGACCGTTGTTCAAGTCAATCATCACGTCAAAATTCCTGACGAAATCTCTGCCCAAGATGAATTGGTCGGCGTCGTCTAAATTTTCTACCACCAGGAAGCTCATCCAAAGATCCCGTCCTCCCATGTGGAGAACCGTTATTGGTGTTCTTCCGGCTACGTAGATTGCTCCTCGATTGGCGGCAGCCAGTCGGAGATTCGTTGGAATCAGGTCTTCCCTCGTGAAGCTCATTCTTTCCCAAGTTTTTATTGGCATCACACTTACTACCGCTCCTGTGTCCAGCAGCCCTGTGACTCCGATTTTCTTTCCGTTGGTGTCGAGCAGATGTGCGGTCACATCTGCTTCATACCCAATGTGTACTGCATCTTGTTCCATCATGGCGTCATGGCCTATCCTGCGGACTTTGAGTTCCTCCTCACCCAAATAGATCTGCCCTATTTGGTCACTATCTGTTGTTACATAAGTCCTAGTGTAGATACTGATTCCATCCACGTTCAGCATCACTTGATACGGCCCATAGACTTCCAGGTAGCGTCCATGAAGTTTCTTTATGCGAGGGCCACCCGTTGTTAGTAGTGCTCGCACAGCCCTCGACTCAGTGCGTGGCTCCACCTGCCTCAGATAATCTGCAAATGTGTCCAAATGCATCAAAGTGAACTTGGATGGTTCACTCAGATTTCTGATTACCTGGTGTCCAGCCACTGAGATTATCGACTGTATCTTGCTTCCTTGTGGCACCGAACCTCTGACCGGAGATCACATTAAGTTTCATGCTCAAACTGCTTGGTGCTTTAGTCTCCTCGACCTCCGTTGCTTCGAAGGCATTCAGTTGCTCCTGTAGTTTCTCATTCTCCAGTTCGAGTTTCACTTTTTGTTCGATCTCTTTTGTCACCAGTTCCTCCTGCACTCTATTTAGAGCATTCCTCGCGGCTGCTCTATAATCAACCTTGAAGTCATCCGCCGCAGTCACTGGTTCCGGTTCATGTGTCTCTTCAGTTACCGCTTGCATTTTCTTCGTCGCCAGCTCTTGCGGTTTGTCTTTTCTGCGCGCCTCTGCTTCACTCTTGATAAAGCTTCCTCATGCCTTGGATGCGTGATGTCTGCCACTGCATCCCAAAATTGTGGACAATCTGATTTAAAATGACCTTCCAAGTTGAAAAAGAAACACCCCGGGCCAAATTTCGCAATTACTCCTCTCATGAAATCCTCATGGTCAACTTGTGACGCATCTTCGTCCTCGAGGCTAAAGCCTATAGCTTTCATGCCTTTTTTGTAAGTTGGGCATGCTGACACATGATGGTCCGTTGAATTGCAATTGGCACAAGAACGTCTCTTTTCCATATCATCCCTCGGTTTGTACCAGTTGTTCCCTTGGTTTGCTGGTCCGTTGTTAAAATTGCCATAATTTTTCTTATAATATCCAGATCTCGAAGGAGGTTTCAACAAAAGATATTCTTTCGACTTGAGTCTAAACTCCTCTGGTGTTGGCGCATTGGTTGATAGTGGTGTGTAATGCGTTGCTAGCATTGTTCGAAGTTCATCGTTCTTCACACCATCGATGAGTTTCGAGGCTACTGCCAGGTTCATCCTTCTGTTTGACTCATCCGGTTGGCTGCGTCTTCTAAGCAACTCCAAATCGTCTAGAAACTTGTCCATCGTCTCATCTTCTCGTTGCCTCCGTTTCTCGAAGCGCATCATTGCTTGGTGTCCCTGCAACCCCGATCCGAAACGATTTAACAAGATTTCGAAGATTTTCTCGGCTTTATCTCGCTGATATTGCTTCTTTGCCATGACTCAGTTCAGGGCTGTCCCTTCCAAGTTACTGGTAAGCGCACTGCATTCTTGTCTTTCCGATAAATCCTCTTCCTCGAAATGCAGTTTCATTAACTCTATCCAGGTATCAATTCAGCAATCTGATTCGTCTTTGTAGCATCATGGTTTCTTAAAGACTCTTCTGGACTTTTCACTGCGTTCATTGGTTCTGGATAACCTCGTCAGGAATGTCTCCAAAGACCTGTTCAGAGGTTGGAAGGCTGTGGCCATTGCCGTAGCATCTCTCGAGTGCCCCGCCTGAGTATCATCGCACCTTGTTAAGGGCTCTGTATTCGGTGCATCCCTGCAATCCGAATCGCCGTGCCTGTTTGCCCCTTGACCCACATGACTCCTCAATGGGCTCGCATGTCTCCTGTTACCGGAATTACCTCTCCCAGTCATATGTGTGCCTTGTGTCGGTCGTTCGTTTGAGGTTTGTCTGTTCCCAGTTGAACTTGCTCTACTGTTTGGGCCCCATGTTCTATTATCCCTTGTGGCATAGCCTGATGAACTGCCTCTACCTCTAGTGGATCCATATGACCTCCTCCTTTGATCGTCATTGAAGTTCACCTTCGGCTCCCTGCTGGGACCTCCCGAGTTCGGTCCCCTTCTTTTGGTCCACTTTTGCTGCCTAGTAGCCCGTCCAACCTATCCATGATAGCCTGAGTTCGCCTCTCCATCATCGCATCTCTCTTTGTGCCAAGAGTCCCAAGAGACTGCTCTTGTTGAATTCTTAACTTCTCCATGTCGTCTCTTAAGCGTAACTCTCTCTGTTCCGCTTCTCTTGTCATTCGCGACAAGTTCTTCGCTATGTCCTCGTCCGTTCTTTCCTTCAAGCGTTTTTTGCTTCTACCAACTTCTTGTCTATTGTGGTTTATTTCTTCCCCTTGACTTTTTCTTTCAATGCGAACTGCTTTTTCTAGTTCACTCATTCTTATGGACATCTGTTCATTTTGTTCTCCTATACTGTCCACTATGTGGTTCAAGGTTTCTTCTAATGCTGCCCCGTTATCCACGAGTGGCTTCACTAGTGGCGGTGTCACCCTTTCCGTCCCAGGTAGCTTCGTGCTTGTCGAGATTCGGGCTTTTACTCTCTGTCTCGACGTCTTTTCATTATCCACTTCAGGATCCACCAACGCGTTGCCTAGCCCTCTGTTTCTACTCTCCCCAGTTCGCGGCTCTGAATTTGTCATAATCGCGAAGCCTCTCGACTGGCCCGGTGTGTTTACCTCTTTGCTTATCGTTCTCACCACACCAAATTTGTCCATGGTTCCAGTCTCTCTTTCGACGTATGCCTCATTCTCCTGGGTCGAACTATTGAGGCTGACTTGAGACCCAAAGTCCACTTGCTCTTCCTCGTCCTCTTCTTCCTCCTGGGATTCACCTTCATTTCCTGTGCCCACTCCCATGGTGAATGGAAAGATGTTTCCTAAGGTGTTCCTCATTCTTTCTGAGAACGATGAGGACGTTGCTTGTTTCATGGTGTTGTCTGTTGGAGATCTTCTAGTTCCCTTTATTTCAGTTGAGATGTCGGACAGTTCCGACATCTCCTCTCGGTCCAATGTCCCGGTGGAAGTGGCAAAATCATGGCCTTGTTCTACCGGAGTATATTCACTTGCCAGCCTTCTGCCTCTCCCATCCAGTCCATGTACTTTCTGGTTGTCATTCATGGCCTGGTCCGTATTGACCTCCTCTTCTAAAATTTCTTTTCGCTCTTCTGAGGACTTCTGACTCCTCGTTTCAACCATTCTGCCTGAAACCGTCTCCCCTTTGTCGGTCTGGGCTCGTTTGATCCGATCCACAAAAGGGTCGGTCATTGTTTTTCTTTGCTTTCTAGGTATGAATTTCCTGGAGCTATTACCTCGTTTAGGTATCCTTGACTTGTCTAGACTCATTCTCAGTTTGTCACTCCTTAATGCCTATACACACAATTCGATTGCTAGTGACCTTATAGTTTGACTATCAATAATAGTGACACAACACAAAAAATTTCCCAAGATGCTATTAAAAAGTGACCACGAATCCCCGTATGTTATCAGAGTACAGCTTGTATATAATTTACTCACACTAACCGGTTATCGGTCGTAAGATTTGAGAACTAGCACAATGTGATGTTATCAGTCAATTTAAAAGATAGTGTACTTACTACCCAATCAAGCACAAATTATGTTGATTTAAAATCAAAAATTTTTTTTTAAAAGAATAAGAATACCTCTATGAAAAACGTATGTGTATTGTACTTTTAGTCGGTCGCAGTACAATAATCGAGCTTGTCTTTTAAAGAAAAAGCTTTCCCTGCTTGGTGCTGCACGAAACAGACAAAACTTTGAAGGCAGTAATTTTCTCAAGTGGGCGTCTATTGCACCCACCGAGTACTATGTTACCTATCTGCCTTCGGACTGCCCGAGCTAGACCTACTAAAATCCTCAGGGCAGTCACTTTTCACAAAAACGTTTTGGGTTTCAATCCACACCAATTAATTACGCTCCTTTTAGTTTAGACTTAGTTTCGCGAATATCCGAGTTCGGACCTGTTTTGTTTTGGTCTGGTCTTTAACGAAAGCAAATTACCAGTGCAGTCACTGATTCCTAGCCTGTCTGCTAATAACCTAATACCCCTCACTGTAGTCTTTCTTCTTTTTACCTAAGTTCTATAATAAAATAATACCCCTCCGGATTGGCAAAAAATGGACCCTTCCGGATTGGCAAAATTTAGAACCCTCCGGATTGGGACCCCTCTGAGTTAGTAAATATAAGACCCCTCCGGATTGGGACCCCTCTGAAATAGTAAATATAAGACCCCTCCGGATTGGGATCCCTCCGGTTTTGTGCAAACAAGACCCCTCCGGACTGGGACCCCTCCGAATTTGAAAAACTTTGGACCCCTCCGGATTGGGAGCCCTCTGAGTTAGTAAATATAAGACCCCTCCGGATTGGGACCCCTCTGAAATAGTAAATATAAGACCCCTCCGGATTGGGACCCCTCCGGTTTTGTGCAAACAAGACCCCTCCGGACTGGGACCCCTCCGAATTTGAAAAACTTTGGACCCCTCCGGATTGGGAGCCCTCCGGTTTTGTGCAAACAAGAACCCTCCGGATTGGGACCCCTCCGCATTTGTAAAATTTTCGACCCCTCCGGATTGGGAGCCCTCTGGTTTTGTAAAAGTAGCTTTTCGGAGATTTCCTTTATTTTCAACCTATACCCCTCCGGATACGTTCTTCGATGCTATCATGCTTTTTAAATTAACTAAGAAGGGTATGTGATCCTTTCCTAGAACCTTCCGGATTAAAGTTAAGCCTCTTATTTGACAGTTCACGCTAACGGTGAAGGGTCTTATCGCTAGCCTAACTTCCGCTCGATTAAGGTTTTCTTGTGCCTTTAGCCTTCCCTTTTCGTCTAGAACAGCCAAAAGTTACTTTATCTAACCGTTATTACCTTTTGGTAGGGGTGTAAGGGCTTTCCTAAAAAAAATTATAAAACGTGAACAGTCTACCCTCTCAAATTGGTGAATTTGCTAAAAACAATCTCGAAAAATTTTCACGCTTACCTTTTTGGATAAACTTTTGTCCCTATCAGTAAGCTCAGCTAATTTCTGATCTATTGGTACCAAGATCAACTGGATCTGCCCAGTAGTTCCAAAGTTATTAACCAAAACGTCTTCTTTCTAAAATCAAGAAATTTGTCTCTTATAGGTTCCGCCTCACTTTTTCCGCAATTCTGTTCTTTTCGACCTAAAAATTATTGATCCGAGCTTAGAAGGCCTATACTCTTCTAGTTCAATGCAAAACACCCGATCTAAAACGCTTAAATTGAAAAAATTTGCGAAAAACTATGCTACCTGTACCCCTCCGGATTGATGAATCCACCAAATCAAACACGTTAAGTTCGATTTCTCTGCAACCCGGAAGGCTTTCGGGTAGCGGGTTTTAAAACTTGTAGATTCACTAGTGGATGTTGTCCGAACTACTGTTTTTACTGTCCTAACTCAAAAATTTCAAAAAAATTTCTGAATTTATAGTGTTCCGTTTTCTCAAAATTCACGAAAATTCGGTTTTTGGTTCCAAAATAGTTCCAACCAATTCCGAACTAAACTTAACCGGTTCTAACTATTACAGTAGTGCAGTTACGATATAACACACTAATTTAGCGCTTTTTTTGTTTCAAAAATTATCGATATCTCAAAAATCGCGATTTGTG